AGGGTTATTAACTTGAGTCCTAACTCCTTGTGAGTTCATGGATAGAAACCGTGTGGGAAAAAGAACACACCTTTATTTTGACTAATTCCTAACTAAAATTAATTTCCTTCAATTAGGAAGGTGTGCACCCAACCACAGTAATATTATTGGCAGTACTTATGTTTTGTTTTTTTGTTTGTTTGGTTTTTCACAAATAGAAATCAGGCATTTTCCCATCACACTACAGTTATTATAGGTAAGGGTTTACACTCATTACTACTTTAAAATTCCTGTGATTGCTAGACTAGCTCCTAAATCACATGTGTTTGAAGTTTTCCTGTCTGGTGGTTAGTACAGTGCCTGGCTCATAGTAAGGGCTTAATAAATGCTAGCTGACTATCTAAGGAAGCACTTCAATATAAATGGTTTCCTTTGTAATCTAATTTATTTTATACATTTAAAAACACCATGAGAAGTCTATAGGCTTTACCAGACTACCCAAGGGATCCATGAGACAAAAAGGGTTAGGAACCCTTCTTACTTATTTTTGTGTCTCCAAATGCCTCTCATAATTATATCTTGTCCCCATGAGCACAAATTTCCCGTACATAATCCTGGGTTTCATTTATAAAATGTGTAACTCCTAATTAGGATGAGTGACATACTCTGACAAGGATGTAACAGTGAATAAAGTGCTGAACTTGGAGTCAGGAAGACCTAGGTTCAAATCCTCCCTCAGACACTAGCTGTGTGACTCTGGACAGGTAATTTCACTTCTCAGTTTCCTTATCTTTAAAAAGAGGAGGTTGGGCTTGATGCCTTCCAAGGTCTTGATAGTGTTCCCAATGCTAAATCTATGATCGTGTAGAAAAATACAATTGTGTGATAAATAAAATAACATTAACATGGCATATGATGCTAGAACTTGTTAATTTTCAAGGATTGCTTCTGAGTCAAATTAGAAGCATCACTATCTCCTTTCCAGTAAAGAACTATGAATAAATCACACCTGTTATCTCATTCCTACAAAATGTTTGATTTAAAAGCTAGATAGATTCAAATTAAAAACCCTAAGTTGTCTTGTCCCCCCCCAAAAAAATTAGCAAATGAATAAAAAACTTTAAATAGAGACTCTTTTATCAGAAAATTGAATGGATGATACCTCTTACAAAAGCTTTACTTAGAAAACATTCCAAGTCTTTAGATCTGCATAATAGGAGAAAGATTTAGTGAATAATGAAACAACCAGCTCCATGTGACTAAAACACCTTTTTTTTAAATAAAGTAATAATAGAAGTTGGTTGTGTCCCACATGCTAAAGAGAGACTTTTATTTTTTCTTAAGACTTTATTTCAGATTTGGTGTTTTTCACCTGCTATATGTTGTAGCCTGAATAGGTCCATCTAACTTGTAACTTGGTGATAGTTGGGGAAACTTGAGCTTTCCCTTTTCAAAATAATGTTGGTTCTAGCCAATATGTAAAATTACAATTTGAACCATTTTCTGGTTGCTTTTGTAGCTCCATCTCTGAAGCTAAATCCAGATGTCAATCAGATGTAAAAAAAAAAAAATTGGACTCAAACCTTTATCATTAGACAAATTACCCTCTCTCCAACAGAAAATGCAATCCTGTGGGCTCTTTCATGGTGACTATAGTCATAGTGACCCAGAACCTGAAATTGTATATTTTGGATGCTAAGTTGGAATAATAATAACATCATCATCGTCATTTTTTGGAATAGGTGTTGGTATAATAGTTCTAAGAGTACTGTTAGAGATGCAAGGGAAGAGAATAAAAAATAAGGCAGCTATATTTATGGGCCAGAAAATGCAGAACTGCCAATTAGAAATTTGAATGCTTACAACAGGGGAGTGGATGCCGAGAGAATCCTCATCACAGAGTCCTTCCAGTCCATGCAAATAAGAGGCATTGGTGGAAATAGCAGGGAAAGCAAATAGCCTCTTGTTCTCCATATCTTTTCCCTTTTTAAAAATGTAGACAGCAGGAAAGAGAAAGACATGAATGTATAAGAATTTGAAACTGAGAACACAATGAATCCCAGCTTCAAATTCTTATACATTCAGAACCAAATTCCAGTTTCAACGCAATGGCGTCATGTAGTCAAGGGTTACAACACACTCCCAAGAGTCATGACACAAACCATAGAATTTTTATAAGTAAAATTGAAAATATGAGCCTTGGCATGTAAATGCCTCTTCTCTTAAGTTGAGGAATCCTGACAGGAAACCTACTGAGGTCTCAAATACTGTACCATCCTTTCAGTGTTGAGGTTAAGAAAATAAGGTTGAGGATCAATGTTCAAAGTAAAAAAAAAAAAAAAGCTATCACATTAGGCTCATTGGTTCATAAAGGACATGATTAAAAAAAAGTAACCAGTTCTCCATTGATGAATGTTCCTTTGAGAGAGCCAATGAACCTTGAAGGTACAGTTAAAAATGGAAATATTATTCATTTTAGCTACAGACGTACCATAAGACCACAAATCATTAATGTGGCAATTCAAAGTAAGGAGCTAACTACTATCAAAAATAAAAATATAGGAAGAGTAGCTCATCTCTGCTTTTCCATCATTACAGATGCAAGAACTACATTGTTCTTATGTGACCAAAGAAAGGAAGACAATCAAAAATGTCAAAAATCTTCAATAACAAATAAAGTTATAGGGGGAGGGGGAATCACTCTGCAGGCAAAGAGAAAAAAAATCCATTCCTCACTGTCAACTGAGTTGGAAATTAGCAAATATCTTTCCAGTACTATCTCTTTGGAATAACTTTTGTTGTGTTCAGTGGTTTCGGTCATATCTAACTCTTCGTGACCCCCTTTGGGGTTTTCTTTGCAGAGATCCTGGAGTGGTTTGCCATTTCCTTCTCCAGCTCATTTTACAGATGAGGAAACTGAGGCAAAAAAGATTAAATGACTTGCCCAGGGTCACATAGCTAGTAAGTGTCTGAAGATAAATTTGAACTCATGAAGATGAGTCTTCCTGACTCCAGATCCAAAGCTCTATCTGTTGCCCCACCTAGTTACCCCTGAAATAACAAAAGACTTTAAATATTTTGTCCAAGTTACATATTTATACATTATGTATAATATACAATATTATTGTATGATATATATATCTTTTCTCCCTCAATAGGGCATTATTTTCTACTATCAAACAGCAAGCACAAGACTGTATTATTAACCCCTCTGCCATCAAAATTATGCATATTTTTTAAGTTGTGGCCTGTAATTTCCCTTTTCAATTCCAACCCAAAATTCCCTTGCCCAATTGAGGCAGTTAGGTGATGAAGTGGATAGATCTTAGAACTTAGAGTCAAAAAGATCTGAGTTCAAATTCCTCTTCAAACACTAGTAGTTTGATCCTGAATAAGTCACTTAACCTCAATATGCCTCAGTTTCTTCATCTGTACAATGGAAATGAAAATATCATCTACCTCAGAGGTATTGAGAGGAACAAATAAGTGTGTGTGTGTGTGTGTGTCTGTGTCTGTGTAGTGTTTTGCAAACCTTAAAAATCTAAATAAATGATAGCTATAAAATGTCCATATCTTTTGACCTTGATATTCTACTACCAGGTATATACTTGGAGGAATAAGGATATGACTATGTTTTTAAGAAATTATGAATATGATAAATATAGAAGCATTGAAAGACATTAACTGATGCAAATTTAAGGAAGCAGAACCAGGAAAACAATTTAAATAATAATTATAATGATGTAAATGGAAAGAACAATAAAACAATTGGAATTGAATGCTGTAAAATTATGATGACCAAGATTGACCCCCCCAAAAAAAAAACAAATGAGAAAACACTTCCCTCCCTCATTTGCAGACAGAGTATTATGAGTGTGAAACATTGCATATAATGCTAGACTAGATACATTGATTAAGAATTTTTCCCGCTTTTTATTCTTTATTATAAGGGACAGCCCTCAGCATAGGAGGAGGGATACACAGGGAAATGCAAGTGATTTATAAACAAAAGATAGAGTAAGTGCAAGGCTCTGGGAATATGGTGGCACCTGTCATGGTGAGACATGAGCTGAGTCTCAAGAATGTTGTAAGTACAGAGAGGACTGAGTAGGAGAATAGGGGAAGGAAAAAATGGGGTAAAAAGAGAAAGGCTATCTTTATGAACATTGAAGCTGTGTGCATATACCAAATTCCTGGAATAATTTTAAAAGACTACCTTAAAAAGTTATCTTCATTCAGAAAGAGCTGGATGAAAAAATGTATGTGCTAAGAGGAAATAAGAAAAGGGCAAAGGTATAGAGGAACTCTGTACTCTTAGAAATGCTCTGCTAAGTGAACATATTTGAGCACGTGACATCCATGATGGGTAATATTTTAAAAAATACTTTATTACAAATTATAATTTAGTGAAAAGACAACAATGTGAAGTAACCTGGCTTTATTCACATGTTAATTTTCACATGGGTACCAAAAGGAAAAAAAAATGAGGGTATCAAAAGCTATTGGCACTTGCCCAGGCACTCATAAGCTACCAACTCCTCTATTTGAATTAGGAACAAGGTTCTTCTCATTTGTGGGTTACATTTTGTAGAAGTGGAACCTCTAGAAATTTACATTCTAAAGCTCTTGTTGGAGCATAACAGTAATTTTAAAAACAAAATTAGCTCTCTTAATAAGGTTAAAGTATGTAACAGAAAAAGAAATTCAACTTTGAAATTCAAAAATATTTTCTCTGTAAACAAGGAATTTGTATGTATTATAGTTGGTCCAACTGTTGAGATAAATTTATATTTTAGGGTTCTCATTTGCTGGTAGGCAAGGCTTTTGCTTCAGCCATAAATAGTTTTACAAATGAGCATTCAGACAAATTATTTCTGGTTTGTTTGTTTTTTTGTTTTTGTTTTTGACTAGGCAATGGCGTTAAGTGACTTGCCCAGGGTCACACAGCTAGTAGGTGTCAAGTGTCTGAGGCCTGATTTGAACTCAGGTCCTCCTCACTCCAGGGCCAGGACTCTATCCACTGTGCCACCTAGCTGCCCCAGACAAATGATTTCTAAAGTCACTCTCTCCATTTAAAAAAATATATGATTATAGCTGTAATAAAGCTATCATGGGGATTGATTCACACATCAAAAAAACTGTTGGCATGCATTACATGTCCATAAAAACAAAAGTTGACAAAAACAATTCAACAGTTAGAAAAATAAAAAGCTTATAAGTACAAAAGTTCATAAACACTGAACAAGACCTTGAGTAAATCGTATTTATCAAATTGTTTTCAGGTTTTGGTTGATATAAACCAGGTGTCTGTTGAAAGGAAGAATTAGGCATACCATTTTCAGTGTCTGCATGGGTGCCTTCAGCTAAATAGTTCATTCCAAAAATATATTCGGTAAGAGTAGTCTCAATACTATCACTGCCATTGTTTGAACTATCACCATTACCTATGCCATATCCATCGAATGCTATGGTAGAAATCAGCTGATCTTCTATGCCAGTAGGGTCCAGGGAAAGAAAGTTCTGAGGGGCAACAATAACTCGTCTCCACTTTAGGGACCTGGATGTATGGCCGATTGGTTTTGAATCTAAATAGGCTTCAATACAAATATCTTCTGAAATGCACACCTTGACATCACGAACATTTTGTACAGTGACTTTTGTTTTACAATTGGAGCCTGCGTAGCAGTTGCAATAAAATTTTTCTGAAAATTCCTGTAGATCCTGAAGGTTGGGCTTTCCATAAATCACATATCTTCTGTCCTTCCGAGTTTGAATGATGAATCTCTTTGGGTTCAGATGAAGGTAGTCACTAGAATTCCAGTGTTTTCTAATGCAAACTCCTTGCTCCTGGCAAAGGGCCTGGCTGCACATTTTGGCTGCAAGAGTGACATTGATAATGTAAGGGTTCAGTGTAGTCATCATGTAATTGTCTAAGACCATGCACGTTTTCTGTGAAAAAAAATAGGATAGAAAAAGTCAAAATGTGATAGGACGATTAATTTCAGGAGTACTTTGGTTAGAGATCAAAAATAAACTTCTAAAGCAAAATCAGAAAACTGAAAATTTCTTGCTTTATAAGAAAAGAAGAGGATACAGTTAGGAACAGAAAATGCTTGAAATAATTTTACCCCATTTCCCCCCAGCTGTATTCAAACTTCTCAATCATACCTTCTTGCCCCCAGGAACCACATCAATGGGAAATCTCATTATGTTGCAAAATTCATCAGTGCTTCTTCCCCTCTGATTAAATCCTTTGACTAGAGTAGAACCATGCACTCTAAAACCTCCATTTAAGAAGGTCCAGACAGTCTTCTCCCCGTTTCCCACTAGCTACCAGTGCTTTTGGACTCCTTTGGACTTGTCCATCGTGCCCTCATTCTGGGTACCTTGTTTGCTTCCCCCTCCCACCTGCTACATCATTATTTCCTTTTGTCTACTGTCTTGTCCCATTAGATTGTAAGCTCCTGGAGAGTAGGTACTATCGTTTTTATTTATATTTGTATCCCTAGAGCTTAGCACAAAGCCTGGCACATAGCAGGTACTTAACAAGTATTTATTGACTGACTGATTCTTACAAACAAGTTTATTAAGTTACTTCTAATAAAGTCACATGGACATTCTTTGTGCAATTTCCTGAATCTCTGAACCATTAGCCAAGTTGAAGCCTAAACCTAATGTCTGCAAATGTATCAGTGAAATGGTATAAGCAAAGAATTTCCATGAAATTTTTCTAACAAGTTTAAGCAGCTTTGGAGGGACAAGACAGTTCTCTAGATGGTAAATAAAGAGGGTCAATGAGTACAGTTTATATGAGAGAGGTACATAGTCCTAGATGGTAAAATATGAATGACAGTCCTAGTGATTTATCTCAAAATTGGAAACATAGCTGCACCTCAAACTTACTGGTATAGCATGAGTGACAGAAGCCTTTTCTCCTCATGATCAATAGCTACTGATGAATTACCAAATCATCTTGTTCCAATAGTAGACATATAAGAGGGCATATTGTTGAACTTTGAGTCATAAGACTTGAGTCTGAATCCCATTTCTGATACTTATCAGCTGTGTGACCTCAGGCAAATGACTGAACCTCTCTGGGCCTCAGTTCCTCAACTAAAATGAAGCAGTTAAAGTAGAAAACTTTTCAAATCCCTCTAGCTCTACATCTATTAGTCTGTGATCTGCCTGTCATGATATAGCAAAAGGGAAAAGGAGATCAAGAGACCTCCTAAAATACTCACTTTAAATCTAGCCTTCGACTTCCTTTCTTCTCAGATTTCTCTAGTCAATAGAAATAACTCTCCCTATACTTTGGCTTCCATTGGAGAAATTGGATGAGGTAGGGTGCTCACGAAAGCAGTAAGAACCTGGCTCTTGGCAAATTGTCAATCTTCTCTATACCAATATAGTACTTTCCTCCTCACTATTAATGGTGAGGCATGCCTGAAGAGAGACTACAGAGGCTTCTGGCATACCAATGGTTAATTCCCAAAAGTATCCTTCCTGTTACAAAGGTGTTTGTTAGTCAAACACCTAATGACCTTCCTAAAGTCTCCTTTCTAATTTAACTGGCCTTCTTGCTATCTCTAAAAGACACTTCATGTATTTTTCACCTCCATACATTTTGTTACACCTCTACCCTTTCTGAAACTCCCATACTGTTCTCTTTACCTATTCAGGTCCTACTCAATCTTTTAAGGCACAGTTCAAAGCCGTACCTTTTCTTGCCTGATTATACTTGCCCACTGGGATATCTTAGAAACTTCTTAGCATTTCCTGTTCTAAGCTTTCTGACATTGTATATTGTATTGACATCGGGCTTTTGGTTTGTTTGTTTTTTTTTTTTTGCATTGTTATCTAATTTTTCACATCTTTTTCCTCTACTGGAATTCAATTTTCTAAAGGATATGGATTATATTCTATTTCTCTCTGGCCATCACAACACTTAAACTCAGTGCTGTATATAATAGGTATTCAATAAAATTTGTTGGTTAATTGCTTCTAATTACAATCAAAGGATTTAAAGAAGAAACTATGATTAAGCTGCCTTTTTAAAAAAAATGCACAGAAGAGAACAAAGGAAGATCAGAAGGAATCACAAGCAAATAGAACAGCCTTGTAAGTTTGAAACCTATGTTGAATTTATTTTGTAAATATAAAGAAAACAATTGCTTTTATGTACAATCCTAGTTTTCTAGTCTACTATGTATATGGAAATGCTCATTTTAACATTTAAGTTGGAGATAAAAATAAATTACATTTTTAAAAGGAGAGATGTTAAGAGTTTAGCTACAAAATTACTGAATTTTACAAAAGCACAAAGTATCAGAGATTGACAGGACCTCAGAGGTCACGGAGTCCAACTCATAACTGAGCAAAAATCTACTCCTCAACATCACTGACAAGGGTTCACCTAGCTTCTGTTAGAATAATTCCAGCAGGCAGAAAGCCACTACTTTCCAAGGCAGCACAATAAATTTTTAAACAGCTCTAATTGTTAGTATCTCCTTGAAACAAACTTAAGCCATCTCTCTGCAACTTCTACCCAACCCTAGTTCTGCCTTTGGGAACCAAACAGACCCAGTCTACTCACTCTTCACAGTTTGTGGTTCATTAGTAGGAGCTTGGCCAATGCTAGTTTGCTAGTTGATTGATTGGTTGAATGCTTGGATAGCTAAATGAGACACTTGATAAATGACATATCAAGTTCATCTAATTCCCTGGAGAGCAATTATATGGTAACAAGTGCTTCTACAGCCCTACTTTTCCTTTTGTTCTCATGATCAATGAGGAAAAATAAATATTTTGCCCTACCTCTTTTCTAGTTACATGCATATAACTCCTTTGTCCTTATCACTGAGGCACTCAAGTCTCCTTATCCCATTAAGAAATCCTGGCCTATCAGTGAAGCTTAGATGAGTTCCTTCACACATTAACATTTACATGCAGTTGCAATATAATTTTAGTACTTTCAAATGACAGGATTATAGAATAAAGGCCTTGGAAGAGATAGGAAAAAGAGAACAGAAGAGGTGATCTGGTGAAAGATAAAAGTACAGACACAATGAGAGCAAATGATATTGGGGAGAGGTCTTGTGATACTTTGAAATCAGAGATATATAGAACTTATACTATTGAGGAAAAGTAGAAAATGTTCTACAAAAGAGTTGCAACTTTAATTCTTAGAATAAAAATTCTCCTCAATCATTGTGGAAGTGAGCAAAATAACTCCTTGAAAAATGTTTTACTGCCCAAAGTACCATAAAAATGTGCATAGCCTTTGACCCAGCAATAGCACTTCTAGGGCTATATCCCAAAGAGATCATACAAATGGGAAAAGGACCCATATGTACAAAAATATTTATAGCAGCTCTTTTTGTGGAGGCAAAGAATTGGAAATTGAGAGGATGACCCCATCAATTGGGGAATGAATGTACAAGTTGTAGTATATGAATGTAATGGAATACTATTGTGCTATAAGAAATGATGAGCAAGCAGACTTCAGAAAAACCTGGAAAGACTTGTATGGACTGATGCTGAGTGAAGTGAGCAGAACCAGGAAAATGTTGTACACAGTAACAGCCATGTTGCGCGATGACTAACTTTGATAGACCTAGTTCTTCTCGGCAATGAAAGGATCTAAGACATTTCCAAAAGTATCATGATGGAAAATGCTATCCACAACCAAAGAAAGAGCTATGGAGTTTGAATGTAAATCAAAGCCTATTATTTGCTATTTTTTTCTTCTGTTTTGTTTTTTCTCTTTCTTGTGGTTCCTCCTATTGGTTCTAATTCTTCCTTACAACATGACTAATGTGAAAACATGTTTAATAGGATTGTGTATGTATAGCCTATATCAGAATGTGAGCCATCTTGGGGTGGAAGGCAGGGAGGGAGCGGGAGAAAAATTCAAAACTCAAAAGCTTACGGAAGTGATTGTTGATAAATCAAAATAAATTAATTAAAAAAAGAACTATGGAGTTTGAATGCAAATCGAAGCATACTATTTGCTCTTTTTTTTCTCTCTTCTGTTTTGTTTTGTTTCTTCTTTGTTATGGTTCCTCTTGTTGGTTCAAATTCTTCTTTACAATATGACTAATATGAAAATATGTTTAATGGGAAAAAAAAGAAAAATGTTTTTCTTTTCTTACAACCTTTTTGTGTTACAGACTCCTTTGGCTATCTGGTGAACTCTATAGACTCCTGCTTAGAGTAAGGCTTTGAAATGCATAAAATAAAATACATAGGATTACAGGGAAAACCAATTATATTGAAATAGTTATCAAAAAAAAGTTTAATGTAATTATACCAGCTTAAGAATCTCCGACATAGAGATAGAGAACTTAGCTTATATTCAAAGAGTTCTGTTGTATGCCCTTCACAATAATAATTAACCACTCTTGACCAATTCAATTTACCTTGTTTTGTGTTAAATTGAGGCTTCCCCACATTATTATTCCAGAGACACCCAAGGCAACAGACTCTCCAATAGTATTTACAAGGTCATCCTGAAAACATTAATATTGGGATAAGTTGAGTAAAGCAAAAATATTGTACATAGAACAGCAGAAACAGACCTTAGTATATTGACATCATAATTATATTAAGTACTCTTGTACTTTCTGTTGTAATTGTTTTTCATTAGGCCATAGGATACTAGATATTGATCTGAACATGACCATTCTGGTCTTTTAATCCAACACCTTCATTTTATAGATGAAGAAATGTGGCTCAGAGAGATTAGTGACTTAGCCCTGGTCATCCACATAGTGAAGTAGGAGAGCCAGGATTCAAACTCAGGTCCTGTCCATCACTCTTTCCACTAATCAATATCACCTTGCACTTAGTAGGTACTTAAGAAATATTTGTTAAATAAATGTAGCATTTTCTGCCACTTCCACCAAAAAGATCATAAGATTGTCATGAGCAAACTGTGATTTTGTTATAATCATTACTGACAACAATCTGTCTCAATAATTTCACGTTTATCAGTTTTTGCAAAAAAAAAAAAAAAAGAGCTTTTGCAAACTCATTCTTCACATATTTTACTATACAATTACTTCCATTCATTGGAGGCCTGCCCTGTATATTCATACATGCATATGTGTTGGCATATTTTTCCATAATTGCTTATTTAACAAAGTTACAAAGATCTCTCTAATGACATTAAACAAAACTTTTAAAACATACATTTTTCCCTCCCTGCCAAATAATATCACTAAAAAAACTGCACACATCCTCAAAGTCTAAAAATTCCTGAACTCTTTTTTCTAAGATTCATTTCAAATGCTGAGTTTAGCTGTCTTCTAAAATAGATTTTAAGCACTATCACCACCAGTCTGGCGCTTATCGTGGTTTACTCACCTCAGAAAGATATTGAGATGTGGCATCAGTAAAAACTGGACGTGCATATACAAAAATCGGAAGAGGTTTCTTGAATCGCATCACTTGAGAAACACGAATGGCTTCCTTAATACGATTACGCACAAAGAATTGAGTCTTATAAGAATACTTTAGCTTCTTGGATATATAGATAGATGGGAAAAGAGCAGTGCTCTCTTTCCATAACCAATATAGATCATTGTTTCTTTCTTTTTCTACATCAAAACAACTTCCATTGTAACTGGGGCTTTTGAAGTTATAGTTATAACAATCAGGGAAAAGGTAATAGCCCCATAAGTGATTTGGCCTCAGGGATTTCCCCAATCTTAAAGTCTCTTGCATAAAAGTCCTTGCTGCCTTTTCAAAATCTTTTTTGGCAGCCTGCCAGGCCTCGGTGTCTTTTAATTTTATATTTAGTTGATGAATCAGCTCAACAGACAGGATCTGGTAAATGTTTTTTGGTTTCCAGTTCCTTACCCAATTAGGCCTCCAGTTTTCCCAGTCGATAATCACCAAACCAAATGTATCTTCTGCTGGAATGTAGTAGAGGATGTCTTTCTTTGCTTTGTCTAGATGCTTCTTTAAAGAAGCCAACTGAGGGATCCCTTCATTCAAAGCTTTACCTGTTTTTTCATGTATATAAGGATAGTAGCCAAGCCTGTCCTGGTAAAACATAGTGATATTCTGATTTGTAACTGTCTTTAGAGTGCTTCCAACAAAGGAAAAGAGGCTTAGATCCAATGGTAACTTAAATTTCTTAGCACAGATTTCAGTGGGAGCATTCCAACCCATGATAAAAGGAAGGTTTGGGACAACAGGGGGTGCTCGGAAGGTCAGTACCCGATAGTAAGGAAGCAAAAGAATGGTAATCACTAGGTAGTATGTTTTGCTGCAGGTCATGTAACTCCCAATGAACATCTGAGTAATTTTTTGCATTCCCATTGCAGAATCACCGCCGAGTTCACGTGTTTCTATTCCCTTTGGGTTAGCTGATATTTTGGACAAAAACCTAAAAGGTAAGAGAACAGAAGTGGTGGGTTGGTATGATGGTCATACCGTGCTCTGATGCTCAACTTCTTACTTCAGGAACATTTTTGCCTGTTGTTTCACGTATTATCAAAAGAAAAACATCATTAGCCATATTTCGGCATTAGTGAATGAATGCTTTGCTAACTAGTCCCTCGGACTCAAGAACAAGATACTAGAAGGTGGAAGCAGTCACACATAAGGATTTTGTCCTACATACTAGATAAAAATGTAAAATCCTTGGAAAGAGAGACTCCGTCTCCTTCCTTTGTATTTTTCTCATTCCCCAAGTTGCCTGACAAATTGCTAAACACCAAATGAGCCCTCAAGAAAAGGGGTTAGTCATGGGAACTCCCCTAAACAACTAGACAGTTTTACAAGACCTATTCACTGTTTGGGGTAAGAGAAGCACCTTCCCTGTAAACAGTGTGAACATGCTGATTGGCACCTAGTTAAGACAATAGAAATTGCTTTTCAGTGGGTAGGGCAGCCCACTGGAATTCAAGTGCTCGCTCACATCGGAAAAATAAACCTGAACTCAAAAGGATAATTTGAAAACTACCGTGATCATACTCTTTATACTCTCCCTCCTAACCTCTTAAATAATTAATGTCTCAAAAAAAAATTATAAGGCGGGGAAGGGGCAGGGTGTCTGGGGCATTTGATCCATATCCCTAATTCTACATAGCTCTCTGAAAACATGAGAAAGCTCCAACAGTTAGTTCATTCTTTAATTGTTCCTCCCAGTGTCTGAGGTTGCTGAGGCTGAGTTCTTCAATGCTCACAAAAAAAGTGTCTATTTGAGTAGGTCTCCAAACATATATATTCATACCACTTCCACAAACAAAGTTTAACAAAGGTTTGTTTAAATAAACAAAAGTTTATCCAGGTTTGTGGACTGTTTCCAGTTTACCTTGGTGCTTTCAAGCCTCACTCTAAACTACAACACACAAAGGGAAAGAAAAAAAACTAATAAAAGTCAAACAAATGACTAATAGCCAATTAAAAAGATAAATGGGAGGAAGCAAGCATTACCTCCAAGGAAGGAAAGTATTCCTGACAAGCTACCAAGATATAATTTGTGGCCCAGGGCTCTCTGCTCACATGGATCCCAGTAATAGTTAGCATTTATATAGTGCTTTAAGATTTGCAAGGTAGTTTACATATATAAGCCCACTTTATCTTCCCAGCAATCCTGTAAGGTAGATGTCATTCTTATCCTCATTTTACAGGTGAAGAAACTAAGGGCTTGGAGAAGTCATACAACTTGCCCAAGGTCACACAACTAGTGTGAGGTAGGATTTGAGTTTGGGTCTTCCTATCTTAAGGTCCAGTACACCATCCACTTTGTCACCTAAGTACTACATTCCCTTTGGCTAATTGTTCCCAACCACAATTGACTTTAGTAAATCTCCAAATATAGCTTTTATATGTAGCTTCCACAAAAGTGGATAACAGAGTCTCTATATCTCCCATAAAAGCAATCATGTTAACAAATACATATCAGGTAGATGATAGCCTTTCTTTCATAGGACCATAAGTTTAATGCTAGAAGGAAACTTATAGGCCATTCAAATCCTACCTGATGAATTAGACTAAGTGGCCTTCAAGCTCTAAATCTATAATCCCTTTATCTTCAAAAATTAAAAAAATCTGATTTTGCAGATAAGGAAATTGAGGCCCAAAGAAGTTAAAATACTTAACTTCTGAAGAGGCAGTTAGTGACAAAGGTGGGATCTGAACCCAGCTACTCCCTACTCCCAGTTCCCTTTCCTTTATGCTATCTTGCCGAAGGCAAAGAAGATGTACAGGGAGCCCGTAAACAAATAAAGCCTTCACAGTACCCCATGAATTCTCCCTTGAAAAGGGACACTGGGAAATAAGGATTTATATTAGCCTAGAAGGCAACACAGTTAGGCATCTTCCCTCTACACTCACTATTCCTACAACTTCCCAAGCCAAAATACTTAGCACAGCGCCTGCCACTTGTTCACTCATGCCCGACTCTCTGTGATCCCTTTTGGGAGTTTTCTTGGCAAAGGTGCTAGAGTGGTTTACCATTTCCTTCTGCAGGTCATTTTACAGATGAGAAAACTGAGGCAAATAAGTTTAAATGACTTGCCCAAGGTCACACAGCTAGTAAGTGTCTGAGGCCAGACTTAAACTCATAAAGAGGAATCTTCCCAAGTCCAAGCCCAGTGCTCTATCTATTGCACCACCCAGTTGCCCACCTAGCACTTAGTAAAAGTTTGATAAGTACTCCCAAAGATGAAAATCAATCAGAAGTTAGTTGTCTTTGTTCCTCTTAATTCACCTCCCTCTCTTGCAATCCCTGGTTTCCTTAAAAACTCAACTCTTCTGCATGCTTTGTAATTTCATCAATGAAGGTAGTAAAAGTACTCAATTCCTGAGAAAGTCTACAAACTTTCTACCAAAAAAATTTAATTACCCTGTAGAGCCAGCCTAAGCATTAAACTCTCCCAACTTCAGTGAGGCTAGTCCTCAGATAAATTTGATGTTTTGGGTTGTACTTAAAGGAAAAGGAAACAAACCAAAAATAATCTTTTCTAGAATTCTCTCACCTTGACTAAGGGGTGAAATAAGTCACAAGACATAGAAATCCTCTTACAATACCCAAATGTTCTACCAAAAGAGATTTAATGGCTTTGAGTAACTTTATTCCCTTAAATCATATAGCAATGTAGGCTCTTATGCTAAACATTAAAAAATAATTTTACAGCTTCAAGGTTCTTGTTAAAGAGATTGGCTCTGGCCTAGCTTAACAATGAAGGGAATAATAAATGTTCCTCTTTTCTCCATTCATTCATAAATTTAAGTAAAGTTACCCTTCTGGTAGTCAAAAGGTCAATGACTTTAAATTATAGTAATGTTGATTGGTCTAGGATTATAGAGACGTATTATGATAAATTGAAATGCCTTGAGTCCGGGAACAAAGAATTAGATCTCTATCTTTCTGTAGTTGGTTTTTGCAATGGTTTCTTATAAGAAGACCATTGAAATTGTCTTAGATTCCAGTGGAAAAATACAATTATTAGATAAAATTAGATTACTAATATCCAAAGTCCAGGATTATATAATTCTAGTTAGAAGAGTTTTCTCCTCTCATGATAGTGTAATTTTTACTAATGAAGAGATTTTAAAAGCTTATTCAATGATCCTTCTGGCTATTCTTTTTGTCAAATCAATAAGCATTTCTTAAGGGTTTACTTTGTACCAGGCCCTGTGCTTTCTCCTCTATGTGTTGCCTTCACCCCATACCAAAGCCTATAGCACTGGGGCAGAGAGGCTGGGGCTCAGAATTCAGAGGATGTTGTCTATCTTATTTCCCTGTAATCCCCCAGGCTCTCTAGCAGTAACTTTGCACTAGTGTCCCAGGGTATGGCTCTCAACCACAGCACGGGTATCCTGTCATACCTCAACTGAAGGTATGCTTTCTACTGTTCTCTCCAAAAGCAGAAATTCCTAACTTTGACCCAAGTCTACTTCAACCAAGTTCAGTCCTCAGCTGTCCTGATATGATAGGATAAATCCCATTCCACTCCCATCATTTTCCCACAGCAAAGATTAATTATTCCCTAAAAAGCAAGAAAACTGTACTTAGAACTTGGTGGGTCTCCCTGCCTTTTCCTGATCCCCCTTAAGGCCAATCCCTTTCCCTATATTATCTCTAATATACATGTATACACATATATATATATAGCTTGTACACAGTTGTTTGCATGTTCTTTCCTCCATTAGTGTGAGCTCCTTAAGCACCATCTTTTGTCTTTCTTTGTATCCCAGCATTTAGTACAGAATAAGCGTCGAATAAATGTTTGTTTTATGACTAGCTAATTACGTATGGGGAGAGCTCTCCGTGGAGCAGAGAGTAGTCTCCTGCTCATGCAGAACAACTAGTTCAGCGGGTGCAGGAGAAGACTTCTCAGTAGGGTAAAAAAAAGTTGACAAATTCATCTTCCCTGCAGAAGATGGACTTACAGCATATTAAGGCTAAAAGTAAACTGGTTCATTACATTTAGCAGCCAGATAGCTCTCAGCTTTTCAGTGCCATGCAAAGGAAATACAGAGGCAGCTGATGGAGCTGGTGGCCACACAAGTGATGGGATCTCTCTTGATGGGGGTAGAGAGTGACTGACCATACCCAGGAACCCACCTAACGATCTCCAGTCCAGCGATTGGATATGGTTCCTGCTGACATCAGAGCCATGAGACAGGAAAATGAGAATAGAAGTAATGGAGAGACTTGGGAACACCCACCAGTTGGTTATAAAAATAAAAACCATAATTATCCCATTACTGCTCTCAGGAGGAATGTGATTCTCTGCCCTGACAGAACAGGGAGTGGATAGGCCTTCTCCACCTAGGAGATGGGGTATTTGCATGAAAAATTCAAACAGAAACCTAATGAGTCACTGTAGAAATAGCTCCAGAGCACATGATCAAATTGAACCATGCTGAGGGGTCTGCAGCTGATATCTATATGCTGGGGAAGCTTTCGGAGAACTTCTATAGTCAACTGCCTTTATAGTCAACTCCAGACAGGAACCACCCTCCAAAGATTTGTGTCTCCTCTATATATTTGACAAATGAGGCCTTTGTCAGAGATACTCGTTGCAAACAAAAAGTTTTTCCCAGTTTTCTGCTTTCCCTATAATTTTGGTTGCATTTGTTTTGTTAGTGCAAAAACTTTTTAATTTTATGTAATTAAAATTATCTATTTTACATTTTGTAATGCTCTCTATATCTCCTTTGGTCCTAAATTTTTCCCTTATCCATAAATCCGACAGATAAACTATTCCAAGCTCTCTTAATTTGCTTATGGTATCACCCTTCTTCTGTAAATCATATACCCATTTTGACCTAATCTTGGTAAACAGTATGACATGTTGCTCTATACCTCATTTCTGCATACTGTTTTCTAGCTTTCCCAGCAGTTTTTGTCAAATAATGAGTTTTTGTTCC